CGCGCCCGTCCAGGTGGCTAGGCTGCGCCGGGCGCCCTGCCGCTGGCTTAGAGGGATCCTTCCTGGGTGGCGGCCGGAAGGATTGCGCGGGGGGCTGGGGTACTCTCCAGGGAGTTTGGGGGAGGGACGGCGGGGTCCTGGGGCGGGGCGCAGGGGTCCCCAATGGGACCGTGGATGTGGGGCTGCAGCTCTGGGCACCGGCGGAGAGCGCCCTGCTCGGCGGAGAGCGCCCTGCTCGGCGGAGAGCGCCCTGCTCCGCGGCAGCGCCCGGCTCGCGGAGTCGCGGGATCGGTGGCAAAGTGTCGCTGGCGCGGCTGGAAGGATTTCTGGGTGCGCAAAGTAGTAGGAACGGAGACGGTCCTGGGAGTGGGTTGTGGCAGCGAGAAGCCAAGCGAGAGGCGCTGGCGCCAACTTACTCCTGTTTGGGGGATGGTATTCAGTTAGCCCCAGGACACCAACTGAGCTGTGTGGCAGGAGACTGAAGTCCCAGCGTGGCCCAAGAAGAATTAAGGAGAGAAGACCCACCCCACAGTGGCGAAACCCTTAAGAAGAGGTATCTTTGAAGCCCGCCAAGGTTATAAACTTGCTCCTCTGAGCCTGGACTCGCGTGCCACCAACTCTCTCGTGGGTAGATCCTTAACCTGTAACTAGCTTTGTACTGGATACAGTGGAAGTATCAAAGGGCACGGGAATCTCAGATGCCCCAAATGTTTAAGGGGCATGAGAATGTAGGCATCACCCATCACCCCCTTTATTGAACAGATAGGAATCCTACAATCCTGAGAGGTGAAGTCCCGTTGTCAATCATGAGTCTCTATACAGCTGCTTCAACCCAGGCAGGAAGACAAGACCGCGTCTTACACCGAAACCCATAAGCAGGTACCGATCAAAATCAAGTTGTGTTAAGGAAGTGAAAGAGTGCAACTGACCGCAAGGTTGAAAATACAAAATGCAACAAAGCCTTAAGTGCCCTTCTCTTGCCACCTCCCACTCTCGAAACTTAAAAGACTCTTAAAAGGGTCGGAATGGTCTAGGACCATGTTTGAAGCAGAGCAGCATTCCACCGCTTTAAAAACCACACACACACACACACCATTTCTCTTCTAGGAAAGCATTCTGTCCTAGAAATACAGATAAGAAAAAAGTGTCTAAACTGGAAGGGATTTTTATGAGTTGAAATTTTTGTCCAATTTTTGTCCCTGAATAAGGTTGCAGTTTATTTACAGGAAACCTTTTTGGAAAGAGAGACTAACAGAGAAGGGTTTGGCAGAAACCGAGGGAATCTCTCTTTTGGAAAGATGCTGGAAATAACCGAACCGAACGGAAGGAAGGCAAACAGCTTTGTAAGACTCAGTATCTCTTTTAGTCAGCCTGGTCCTGGCTGACTCATCTATAAAACCTGAAGGTGAAGTCCCTTCTCTGTTTCCAATTCTATTTGCAATTCTGCCATCACAAATTCTCTCAACATAGAGTTCACGATACGAAAATTAAAGGGTCAAATTACTGAAATACCTTGCCATTTTCTTTGAGCGTATTTATTTGATCACATCTTTGTGTTTTGGAAATGTCTACATAAAACTTAAAAACAAAACTTGGGCTTGAGAATGTATCCTAGTGGTACTAAGTATTCACACAAAGCAACTAGCCAGGCAGAGTTCCAAACTAAAAATTAAAGGGACAGGAAAAGTCTTCCATGTGCCAGTGACCAGGCTGTGTCAAAGAGAAGTGCCAAGGCCCCCCCTGAATAGACTGTGGCATTGCTGTCTTTATCTGTAAGTGAACTACTGATATCATGGGTTTCTAAAAGGACAAACCAATCAGTCTTGAAAGAAGTACGGCCAGAGTGCTCCGCAGGGCTAAAGATGGCAGACTTCTTACATACTTTGGACATGTTGTCAGCAGATATCAGTCCTTGGAGAAGGACGCCATATTTGGTCAACTAGAGGGGCAGTGAAAAAGCGATGGATTGACATCCTGGCTTCCACAATGGGCTCAAGCATAGGAACAATTGTGAAGTTGGCACCGGACCGGGTAGTGTTTCATTCTGTTGTGCACACACAGGGTCACTGTAGATTGGAACCACTCCGTGCCACCTGACAACAACAAGGATATCTCGGTTTCCTGAGGGGCACAAATGGTGGAATATTTGCCTCTTAACTGAAATTGGTGGCTTGAGTATACCGAGGAACTTAATGATCTATGCCCCCCAAAATCACATCCATTGGAAACCCAAATGGAATCCAGTTCTTGAATCTGCTTAGCATGTGGTCACTATGAGTCAAAATTAAGTCGACAGAATCTGGGAAATGGGTCTGTTTTTTCTGAAACTGATAATTTACGGGATTCCCATATATAAAAAGGGAAGTTTGAAGAAAACAAGAGAGGAAATAAAGAAATGGAAAGGCACTTAAAATTGACTCTTCCCTCCAGAAGCAGACAGTCTAATCAAGAAACATGCAATAAACAGAATATAATAGACAATTGAGAAAAGTGCAGTTGCAGGAAGGAAAAATCACTATAGGGCAGCATAAATGGGAGGGATGAAATGTGAGTTGATTCTGCTACCCCTGGTGGCCCACATAGTCTGTATAAGAGACTGTAGGGAAAGGCATTCCATAGGGGGTGAACAAAATGAGCAAAAGTAGACTACAAACACGTACATTACATGCTTATGGGATAGAAAGTAAGTGGGCCAGAAAGTGACCGGAAAGGGTAGTGATCTGGCAATGCCAGACGAAACAGAGCCTAATCTTCAGGACGCAAGGCACCTTCAAAAATGTTGCAGTAGAAAAGCCAGGTGTCCAGAGGCATCAAGATGTATTCAGGGATGACATGCCAGCTGGATGTGAGGAAGAAATAGCAGGCAGAGATCATCGTGGTGGAAAGTAATAGATGAAGAAACGAGGGTAAGAGAAGGCCTGCAAAAGGACAACGAAGTGCCCTGCAATGCGAATGTTTGCAACCTCCCCTGGCATATTAAAGGATTGAAAAGAATCTCTTTCTTAGACTCATTTTAACAGCTAGAAAATCAGAGCCTGGCCTTCTCAGTTTGCAAGGCTAGTTGGAGTGAGAATTTTTTCCCTTAGACAAAGAATGTTACCACCGAGTCCTCCATGACCGAGTAGAACAGTTCCACAGAGCCTGTGACTTTTGGGAGCAGATTGGAAAGGCTGTCTTCCAAGGTGCTTCTGGGTGGGTTCCAGCCACCCACCTTGGGCAGGCTGAGCACTTACCTTTTCAATAGACATCTCGTAGAGGTGTCTCTGTGCTTTGCGAGCAAATTTGTCCACTTGGGGCTCACCTACACTATTGATGTTTTTTTAATCTTGAGCTTCTCTGATCTACTTCATCTTTCACCCTCTATCACTCATTAGCATCACTGCCTGAAAGTTGGTAAGAAAGCATGGGTTTCAGAGTTAAAGTGGAAATTCAAAATTCTTCAACTTTTCCACTTTATATTTAAGGAGCTAGGCACCAAACGTAATGTGTCTTGCTTCAGGTCACACTGAGGGTTACAGGTAAATCTGAAACTTCACTTAAGGTCCTCAAATTCTCAGTCCTCCGCTTTTTCCAATCCATCACTCTGCCATAGGTAATTTCAAATGGCTAGCAGTTATAAAAGTTTTGATGTAGTGAACGAATGGAACCTCTCGCTAACAATAGATGTGGGAATGATCTATAGATGCCAAAAGTCACAGAGTCCACCTTATTACCAGGACAAAAGGTTTGACTGTACTCAGCCTGAAGCATTGATCTGATCATAACTTGAGAATTGTGAGAGGTAATGAGAATTACACAGCATAGGACTGCTGGGCAGCCCTTTAGAGCAATGGTATTCTGAACCTAAGAACATTGCAGCACTTACTCCAAGGTTAGAGGGAGCTCTGGGTCTCTTAGACCTCTGCAGTAAGAAGCTGGTGGGCTCTTTGGTGGCAATTCTTAACCAGTAAGATCTTTCTGAGTCATCACTGTCCTTGAATAACTGAATATTCTTGAACCACTACTTACTGGTTTGATGCTATATTGCTTTGATTCTCAACTCTGACTGTAAAATAAAGCCACTGGGAACTTTAAAAAATTCTTAGGCTTGGGCCTTGATATTTTTCCACCAGAAAATGCCAACATGCAGCCCTGGGCCAGAAGCCTGCTCTGTGAGGAAAACATTATTTATGTCCTTCTCTCCCACTCTTCCTTCCTTTCCCTCCAAAACTGTAGACCCAGCAGTTGGAATGCATTGATATTTTAACCAAAAATCATTACCACTTATTTATACTCCTGATTCTGGAAACAATGGGGGATTTTGTTTGTAGAAACCTTGAGGATTTAAAAAGTTTCATCACATAAACATACTGGTTACAGCAGGTTCAAATCCAAATCCAAAGGATTCTCTAGTGAAATGTATCCCCTCCTTCCGCCCACCCTTCGCACTCTCTTTGGGGGCCGTAACAGTGTGTATTCCTTCACTATCTCTCAGTACACATGTTGGATGATAGAAGGAGGTGACAGGAGTACGGTGTAGGTTGATACCACTGTTGGGTGGCCAGAGAGGAGACTCAGAGGAGAGAGTTAGGGTTGATCACTGGGTACCAGGA